TAAATTACACGCTCTTGCATTCTATTACTACACATATACAGCTTCTATTCTTTCGCTAGTCAATTTCAATTTGTGATGTCACCCGTGTTCCTAACTCTTTCGTATGTCCTCATCGATCTCCCGTAGGTGCTATATACTACGGTATACGGTATTTTTGCTTCATACATTACGCCAGACACTTCCGCGAGTGGTAGGAAGCGAATACGTCTATAAAACACCAAGTCACATAGACAACATGCCATCAATCTGGCTTTTTTAAAACTGCTCTTTCAATCTGACCTAGGTGATAAATACAATCCAGCTGTTCTTAGAGAAGCTTTACGTAAAATAGGTTTCAACTACTTTAAAAGAAAAAGAAAGGTACGGTGAAATGTTCAAAGCGGCGCTGTGTGGCTGATTTTGATGGCTTGATTAAAATAAAGTATATTTGTGTCTTCGGAAAATGAATTTTTAATCAACTTATTTTTATTTTTCATATCAATTTCACCGATAAAAATACATCACAAAAAGTCTTAACAAAAACATTGAGCGCGGGCGGCACTGTTATAAAGTTTTTTTTTTAAATAATATTACTTAAACACATAGAACGCTGGTTTTATCTACCTTTCCGAAGACGTTATCTTTATATAATGCACGTATAGAAAACAAAACCCTGACTTTTGCCTAATAACAATATATTGTTTCTATCATTTGTATTCTTCTGTCCTAAGCTGTAGTAACAGAGTTAATTCCTCAAATCATTTCTCAGTATTACAGGTGAACGTGACCAGCCCGGATAATACAGTTCGCACGAAACACATTATTTTGCATTAAAGAAATACCCACCTTAATTCTGACCCGAAAAAGTGTTGAATATACTCGTAATACGTTCACCAATATTTGAAATGCCAAGCTATGGCGTGATATGAAAGGACGACGACGGGAATGTGTTAGGAAATAGGTTTGCGGCAGATTGATGGAGGGCTTTTTCTGTCATGACAACACGTTCCCGCGCACATGAGACTTGAACGTTTTTCAGATTTTTGGAGAACTCTTTGTTAGGGGAATGTCTGTTAGTGATGACGTCATACATCGTTGTTTTTGTTGGTTTCCTTGTTTGCTTTTAACGGACTCCGGTATTAATATTTTTACTAATAAACAACTATTACTAAAATATCTTGTAACATTAGTTTTAGTAAAAATCAAATGCTCACCTTCTTGGTTTTACATAGTTTCTTATGCTTAAAGAAACTATGTCAAAAAAAAACCAAAGGTGCCTTTGATTTTTACTAAAACTACACACAAAAAACTACTTAGTTTTGACAGTTTACTTTAACTTTACCTTTTTGTAAAAAATAATGAAGAACCAAGAAATAAATGATAAATGTTTAAAGAGAGTGTGAGGATTTATACTTAAAATTTTATTTTATGTCTAATTATTCCACAGATCTTTAGAAAATGAATATTTTCTTGATATAATGGGCTGTACCTATGTTAATTATGTCACTGATTTGACCTACTTAATTCACTATAAAATAAAGTATAACACTGTAAAATAACACTGTATATCACTATAAAATTATAAGTTAAACTATTACATTAGGTAATAACTCACCTATTATTGTTTATTTTACTTTTACTCATTGTGACCGACTTGGGATAAGGGCAAGAAGAGGATGATGATTATACTTTCCGTTGGGCCCCTTTTAAATTTGAAGATGATTTTATTCTTATGGGTGAAGAATTAGGGAATGAAGTATACTGTTTTTAATAATGAATTTTGTGTAGGTGCTTTAAAGTCGGGCATTCTTTTTCAAACGTTAATTGTGTTTTTATAACGCTAATATATTGTTTTAATATCCCTTGTATAAAATACAAATAGTATACAGCGTTTTGTTGTCTTTCTGTTTTAATATCAGATTCACCTTTTTTTTTCCTGTGCGGAAATCCCCTCGGATACCACTTACCAGTTACCACTTAGAACACATCTACACTAACTTCTATATTATAACTATGAAATCCTGTCAAATGAGTCTATGGGGTAGCAAGTGCATGCTCTTACGTATGCAAACCTCTTAACACATAAATAAAACGGTATCTTCAAAACTAATGAATCAGTTTTCAACGCAAAGTGACTAGCATCCCTATTAAACAAGTTTTAGTTTAAATTTTGGTGTTACGATGTTACAGATTCCTTTCTAAACTTATTGGCATTTTGTACATTAGGGATTGAGTAACGGTGCTAAAAGCAAAGTACCTTTAAACACTCGTAAGTGGCTTTTTATCTTTGATATTGTAGGCCGTTACGCTGCATTAAAAAATAAAAAGCCACTTGTAAGTTGATTCCTAATAATATATTTTTGAGATTAAAATGTATTAGTTTAGCTATTTTGCTAAAAAGTTATTATTTGGATGTAACTAGTTTAGTGTAGTTTGTTAACATTTGGGTTATGTTTTTTTTTACGGAAGAGGGAGAAAGCGACTACCACCATCCATGAACGCCTGCAACTCAGGAGTCAGGGCCTTTGAGGAAGGAGTACCCTGTTTAGAAGAGACATCGCAAGAAAAACATCTGGGCCTGTCTCAGTGTGCCTTTTATTACAGAAACTAAGATGCTTATTTTTCAACATATGGTAGTTTACCAACTTGAGAAATCCTTTTCATGATTTAAGTACCAGTTGTAATCTTGTTTTTGTGCTACAAAATTGTACAGTTATGTAAATAATATTGTTTTACTTCAGGTTTTGGTTGTTTAATGTAGCCGTGACCAATAATTTTATTGGATCGGGTTTCCAATACCAATTTCTCAGTTATTGTGCCTGTTTTTAGAAGTCACTTTCTATAATCGATATTGTATTCGAATTTTATGAAAATGTCACCGGGCTTTATAGGTTTGGAGATAACTTTTTACCGTTTGTGTATACAAGAAGCTCAGCTGTCGGCGGCAATAATAATAATGACTAATAAAGTAAAAAATAAACAAAATAAATTTCAGCTACTTAAAAAAGTGATTATAAAAAGTAATTACTGTATTACAATTATAAATTATAAAAACAACGATGAAAAATATTTGTAATAGTAATTCCACAACATCTAATATTTTTATTTTTGTATACCTAGTTCATTTATTTCGTTTTAAACTATAATTTTTTGGATTAAATACCTATACAGATAGGGATGTACTTTTTAAGAACTGTTTGTCTTAAACAGAAACTGTTATACAAACAAATGTAAACGTTTTATTTTATTTTACTTTATGTTATATGATTTCATTAAAATATTGTCAGTAGAGTAAACATAGATTTACACATGTTATCTAGATTTAATTAGCTTAAAGTTTCATTTAGTTTTTTTTTAAGTCGATAAAGTTTACGGCGTTGACTGACGTTTTTGATTGATGATTTTGATAAACGATGCCGCCATTTAAAGGAAATTGCGTACACACTTTCCTACATTTCAAGCACTGCAAACTATTAGTCAGAATTAGTCTAGTATATAGATTTTATTACAAAACTATTGACAACAATAACAACATCTATGGCAAAGTATTTCATTAGTCAGAAACATTGTACAGCTACCTCTTCTTTTGATTCATAAAAGGTATGTTATTATACGACTGGTATCTAACTATTCAAATTCCATAAAATTAATCTGGAATAAAATTGACAGGATTCTTAATATTTTAAAACAAATATTTACCAAATCAGTTCAGACGTTTTCAAGTCACCAACAAATAGTATTTCATTTTCATTTTTATAAAAGATTCGCAATTCCTAATTCAAATTTTTTTTGACATCAAATTAGAGAAAACACTTCGACTCATTTGTACTAGTTTTTATAAATGTAACAGGATTTTAGTCTTCTAAAAAACAACACCTATTTATCACTACACTTTCTAGGATTCAACAGATTCGTTACTATTTCATCTGTATTAAGAGCTGGTAGGAGTAGCCTTATAATAACAAGAGTTGTCTTGTTGTAATTGTCATGTAAAAGTTCAAGTTACAGCATGTACCTACAAGACGTTATAACAAATGTTAAATTACAATTTGCATGCAAAACACTGGGCTTTCTCTTATATTAATATGTTTTTAAACAGTTCATTACATACATATATACTGGTGAATTCAACAGACTTCCTCCTGCTCAGATGTGCCGTTTAATTTTAGTGTTTGGATTTCGACAGTGGAAAAAATAAACCAATATCAAGAAAAGCAGTATTCGTATTTTTAACACATACTTCTTTCACTCTTATTCGAATTAAACTTTAAAATTCGAATATTCGAAATAAAACAAATTATGTTAGATTTCGATTTACATTATATTTTCTTTTCCTGTTGATATATCTTGTTAATTTGGTTCTTAGTACATTTCTTATTTATAAAAGTCCTTTACAATAAACTAAAATGATTCACTACATCTTTGAAATCGATTTCGTACACTATATCTCCCACATAACATATTATATTACTATACATCCATTGTTATATTACTTTTGTATATTTCGTAGATATACAAATCTATATAACCCTGGCTTAAAACCAATAGTAGTACTGTTTAACCTCTGTATCCCATAGGGATGGTGGACTGGCGGTACATCAAAAGCTGGGCGTTTAAAAAATATAATAGTTTATTACAGTCTTTCTATGACACATCTTATTAAACGAGTGGTTACATTCTTAGCCTAACTAAATATACATTACATTTAAAATTAAAATGTTTAGTTTCATTATCATCAGTTTTTGAGTTTGGGTCGACAATATACGAGTAGAATTGCGTGTTAAATATACTTACTTTTTTCCAATTCATGTTTTCTTCATTTACAGTTATATTTATGTTTTGACCGGAGTCTAACAATACTGCTAAAGGAAGATGGTTTTATCGTTTTTTTTTAATATTACTTTACTTATTCATAAACACTGTAACCGGTGGAATATTTCCTGTTTTGGTATTTTTTTGGCACACATTTTATTCAATCATCATAAATAGCATAGTCTAAAATATGATGCGTTATAAGCGATTTAACAATCACTTTCCAATTGACCTGAGTTCCCCGACGGTATTTCGACTTTTTCAATGTTGTTCTGAAATTAAATATTAATATATTAATTAAACTACATTTAGAAATACCTACAGACACTGACAAGAATGTTGTTACAAACAAGTAAACTGGTAATACGAGTTATATCATAATGGTAATTAGTCTCCACCTAAAAAAAAGAGAAGGGTTCTCTTTCCTAGAACAGGATCTTCCCACGTTCTTCAAAGTCTTTCAGGTAGAGACTATATTACATATGTTCAAATTTGATTTTGTAAAATATAGATAGAACTTTTGGAATTCTAATTTTTTAATCAAAATTAGACACTTACATGTACATCGACGGCGACAACCGTAGGGCTAGTATCTACAAAGACATCTGGTCGCGGTGAATGGACAGTTATCTAAAAAGAAAAAACATGAACTAATTCCTATGGGACGTTAGATGTGGATTGCGAAGTATTATTATATCCGAAAGAGCTTTTCCAGGGCAAATTAGCTACGAGAATTAGTTTTTGTAAATTTATACTTTTACAAAACGGCTAAATCGTTTTCAATGTAGTTAAACGCCAAGCTCTTTGTTCAAGAAAGTCTAGCATATAAGCCATTTAGCTGTAGTGCTGACTTTTATGATGTAAAATATGATGATTTATATAAAAGAAAAATTCACCACTAAACATATTGTGAATTAAAAAAGCAGAATACTCTGGAAGCACCAATTTGCAAGAGAAGAAAGAAAAAAATAATTAAATTCCAATAAATTTTATAAAAAAAATCACTTCTCTGTCCATTTGATTTTCTATTTGAGTGCAGCTGCGAATGTCCTTATGATTAATAGTAGGACTAATGTTTTTTTGCTGGGGTACATATGGTACATTACTGCACTGGCAAGACGGACACGCCGGGATTTGTGGTGCAAGGTTGCTGTGTTGTGTGAAGTTGGTACTGCTTGTGTAGCTCGAAGTATCTGCTGCTGATTTCTGAGTAGCAAATACAAAAACTTGTCCGCCCACGCCGTGCTAAAATCATAGACAAGTGGATAATTTATTAGTAAACTGAAATTGAAGTGATTTGTTTCCACAAGCACATTAGGATAAGATTCGGTGACATTTAAAATTTATTATTTTAGATATCTTAATAATAATATCATTTTAATATAGAAAACAGTCAAACTCCCAAACAAATATTTACAGATCATGCAAACATTTGGTCTGACCCGGGAATCGAAGCCAAGGCCTCAGCACAGTAGTCGCATATGCTGCCACTGCACCACCGAGCCTAAGAAAAAACTTAGTTTGAGGAAACTTGCAAATCTTTGAGCAAAAGTAGTTCTGTATAAAGGAGCAGTAAATATGTTGTCAATGCACCCTTTACTACTTAAAGATAATCTGGAGTAGGCATGTTTGTGTTGATGTAAATCCGGTTGTAGGACAAATAGTTATCTTATAGAGAATGGCTTACAGTATATCATTTTAATTACAAAACGTACAGAAGAGAATTGAAGAAGTGATACAAAAGTTCACTCATTATTTCTAAAAGTTAGCTGTGTGAAAACTTATTAAGTGCAATGCCTGGTAATTGTGCAAAATATAATAATAATTCAACACGAGACGAAAACAAAAAAAATACTTAAAAAAAGCAAGCTGGGTTATCTCACAGAAATAATTGAAACTACCTCCACCCACACTATGTCATAACCTGTAGATATTGTCTCGGAACATCACGGAAATTCAGGAAAATTCTTTTAACCACCCATTTCCGGGAATCTTTTAATGATAATGCAGGTTGGGACGTAACAATAAGTTTTAAATCAATACGCATAAGATCGAAAATAGAATTTGTATTTCTCAGAAGCGGACGGTTCTCGTTGGGCAATCCCAATTGCTAGAATGATCCTTTACGAGTAATGTAAATACGGACACATCTTCGTTTAGTTCAGTCCAGTTCGAGCTACAGTGCGATAATCATTGAACGATTAAAGCGAATAGAAGTGTGACCCAGTGACCTCGGTGATCATTTCGGACTATTCTTCAGTGTTGTTGAACGTTTTTAAGTATAGTGATAATAAAGTCTCCTTTGTCGTCAAAAGGTTTATTATTCCAAATCAACGAACCCTAACACGCCACAATATTTTTTAAATAAAATTAATATGGTCATTAACACAGAGCCCGCTATCAGTATTTACTAGTATTTAGTTATCGTAGGTAAATACAAGACAAAAATATTTACACCATTAAAATGTACTCACCTCTTGAATGGCGAGATTTTCTCTTCTTTTGTAAAAGCATATCACAGAGTTAGCAATGATGGCAGCTACAATAATTCCCATCATACTACCAACGAGGATATATGTCATGTTCACTACTAGTATAAGAAATAAAAAAAGAGTTTTATTATTGTAAATAATGCAGAATGAGTAACGGAGCAGATAATAATAACCAATTCTTGCGACACATGCGACTAATTGCGAGGGCCTAGTGCAAGTTAATTTCACATCGACAAGCGCGTTTAGCGTTGCGATTAACTACGGGCTAATCGTAGCGCCAAACGCGTCAAATCTCTTCCATACACATAGATACAGAAGAATACACTAAATCCGAATTTCTAAGGTAATGTATAATAATTATAAAATGAATCAATATTATGACATCTTCTTTTGTGTTATTAAAATTCTAAAAACTTACCCTGGCTGAAAATTACATGATATCGTGATTCCAGGAAACGCATTAAAATAACAGTCAGTAATACCATTAGAACTAAAATTATTGCACCACTAGCCATATTACAAATACTTGTAAATTATTTTTCACAATTCATTCATTTAACATTTAAGTCTCAAACTTGACTTTAATATGAGCGCTATACTGACGTTTCCAATATGTATGAAGCAACTTAGAGTCTTGAAATACAGGTTAAGTGTAGTTTTGTTCCGTGTAATACAAAATACACTACGGTGGAAAGAGAAGGCAGAATATTTAAGAGATATACGATGCTTAAGACCACAAATATAAGGTAAATGCGTTGTTCAATTAATACAAAACGTTATAGTTTTCCTCTTCAATTAGAACGATTTTGTAAGTAATTCCCGTGTACAGGAAAACACATGATTTATATAAATAATTTCACGACTTCATCAGAATCAGTCAAGTCAAGATCAAGTCAAGTCGATATTGTTTTTATTTCTCTTAGTGTAACATAAGGTTGACTAAAAGATATGTAGGTATGGTTAACTAATGCATTAGTTACGGATATTATTATTTATCTGATTAGGTATTACAATAAATACATTTCAAGTGTTTTCCTAAAAATTAATCACAAAAACATTTTGAAATAATTTTCTAGATCACTAATAAACGTAAAAGTTTGTGGGCTTAGACGTTTGTTACTATTTTATCTAAAAATGGCAGAGTAGCTTTGGGTGAAGTTTGATGATTCATAACTTTTTATAAGTCATAAAGTAGTTGATGGTTGGCATACATTGGTGTTAGTTATAGACAGTGGTATATATGTATATATATGAGTACATATACTCGTATATAGTGTGGTAAAGTTGGATGCGGGCAGCATAGGACCGGTTGTTGGAGAGCCTTGGGAGAGGTCTATGTCCAGCAGCGGACGTCTTTCGGCTGAGATGATGATGACATAGTATATAACCTGGATTAAAAAATAGAAGCTCCTTAACATGAAGTAACAAATGGAGAACGAGCCTCATGTTGGAGAATGTGCAGGAAAAAGCTAGCTTAAATTTGTCAAATACATTAAAATTAAAGAAGTTTGACAATAGACCATTCATATTACGGGTGTGAAAGCACGAGAACCAGGGATTTTCTTTTTAGGGTACACCTGGTTCTCCGGCTAATGGTACCCGAAACGGAGTTCTGTTTTAGTCGATTCGAGTCCGACGTAGTCACCCCACCAACCGTATGGTACTAGATTTGCGATTTTACTACGGCCCGTTTTGAAGTGACGCTTGACAACGTCGTGTTTCTCTTGAAATTTCTAGAGAAACCCGTAAGGCACCCTTACGGGTCTGAAATTACTCGGGCATCCTTCTTCTTTACGTAAAACCGTTTATTTTAAATAAAGCATGCTTTACTACCCTCCTATCGGATTCCAGCTATCCCGATCCGATTTATAAGGTGAGCGGCTTTAAAACTTTTGTATAAGGTTCATTTTTGGATTGCGCAAATTTGACCATATTTCTGAATTTCGGAATAAGCTTAACTGGTTACCCATTCATTTTCGGCGGAATATTTATATCATTTCACTATTATACAATATTCTCTTTAATCCCAACACTCTCTTTTATTTAAAAGAACGCTTCAGATTGCTACGTGATACGCATTCAAAGTCCTTAAGATCATCAGAGAGCTTGACTCTGGAAATGCCGAAGTACACCACGACTTTTTTGACAAATCGTTTACAGTGTATTCCATACGCTTGTAGAATGCATTGCCACTGCCCATCAGATGAGCAAAAACATTTCTTAGTTTGAAAAAAATGCTGAAGGAGCATTTCCGAAACTCCTGAGCGAAGATTCGCTCAGTCTGGAATCTTGTGTTTGTGTCTCTTATTTGCGTAGTCTCTTTTCAATGTATATTTGTCAGTGTATATGTTTAAACGAGTTTGTATAATCCAATAGTCTAAAGTCTTAATATACAAAATACTCAGCAAAAACTGCGATCTATAAATTGCAACTCCCCATTTCATTCCTATTCTCCTTCTCCATCCAGTGGTTGCCTGGAAGAGATAAGCAAATCGCGCTAAGGCCGCCAATTGTACAACTTTTGATGTTTTACTCTCTATGTTTTTTTTTTAAATATAACATTAGATTATAAGACTTACACCAATGTATACAAACTGTATTTTTACTATGTTTTTATTGTACAATGAAGAGTTATCTATCTATCCATATGCTATAAGGCTGGTGATAAACTTCGAAGTTACCTTTAACAATAACTATTCTAACTTTAATAATAACAATAAACTACCTAACTTTAACAATAAACAAATCAAATAACTATTCATGATAAATACGTCAACTTTAAAATTATTTAAACAGCCTTTTCATCCGTTGGGTTCAATCTAATTTTTTTAGAGTATAATAATCCAACTAAACAAATGTTATCTTAAAACACATGTCTAATAAAAAAATTGAGTTATTTTAATAAACACAGCATCGTTTTATTTTATATTTATAAAAACTAGCTGTACTCAGCTACTTTGGCACATTGTGGTGCATTGATGAGAAATGACGAACAAAACTGACGTGAAAAATAGATCCAAACGATCTATGGTTTGTATATCGTTAAAATTTGAGTGAGCTCAATCAGTGCAGAACTTTTTGAGTTTATTAAGCGTACCCAGACCAGCTTAACATTTTATATACGTAGAATATGTTTAATATATATATGTATTTCAAACATCTTCTACAAAAAATGATTATTAAGTAAACTTAATTGTTAGCGCCAACTGGCGGTGGCCATAGAATTTATTGGCGCTAATACATATGAGCGGGTGCGCAGATATCTTCAGCGACTAAGCGCTGCCTGAAACTGATATGCTGAGTACGTTACGGCTGCCGGACAGGTGGGTAAAAGGATATGGGAAAGCACGCCTACCTTGATGGTCTTGTGATGCTGGTCGAGCTGCTGTCCAGACCTGGCGGGCTGATCAGGCGGCCTGGTCTCTCGTGGCTTCGGTGTGGCTTGTGAAAACAAAATGGCGGCGCGCTGCGCGGTATAAAGTCACTAGCTTGCCGGCAAGGCCCGATTTAACACTCAGCGGACAATGCGGTAGCGTGATCCGAAGACACTTGAACGCGGCGCGTGTTATATCAATATTTTTGGTTTTTAAAGTTTATATGAGATGCGGTAGCGGAGAGGAAAATATAACGTGCGGTGTGTCTCGCGTCTCGAACGTCACCGAACTGTTTTCTTTTTAGCGGCGTGCGTGCGGGATGTCGATATATGATCAAGGGATTGATAGGTGCCGACAGCCTCACCTAGCGGGAATTTAAACTAAAACTTAAAGAGTTCCTTTCTCTATGGACAGGTGGCGTTACCATTAATAATCATTTTCGTACATAATGGATACATTCTGGAAGAAATTACTCGTTGTTTTAAGTTTAGTATTTCATTAAATTAGGATTCGACGATATTTTCATAGTAGCTTTTGTTTCTTGAACAAAAGTACATGCAATATCATATTGTAGGCTTCATTTCATCTAGGCATTGTTTTCGTCGGAACTTATGAAATATTCGACTTCATTCATAAATGTTCGCATTGCATGCTACCTGAAATTTTCTATTGAAACCGTGTACAGTCAACATTAGAAGGTTAATAACATAGTATGGCAAACAATTACTGCAATTTTTTTTATATAGATTCTATGAAATGTTAGATGATTTCAATTGCTAACATAAACCTTTCATATAAAGGAAAGTTAGATATTGAAAAAGAGTAAATAAGAAAATTAGTTGATGTTTGTTACCGTAAAAATGTATGTGAAAATAAGTGTTCTTTTCACGAAAAACTAAGTCTCTTTTTTTAGTTTTTAAGCTATTTGTTTCCTAATCTTAGAAATGGTTTTTAGGTCGGCTTATGAGATTTTCACCAACCAATAATCTTAAATGAATATTAGATAAAACTGTACTCAGACCCGCTTTGCTGTGGCTCATTGAAAATCTTAACATTGTTATATGAAACATAAGAATATTGACCCTTGAGTTGATTAATATATTCAAATATAAAAAAAAGTATTCATATTTATTTATTTTTCAGATATCTTATCTTTCACCATAACATTGCTTTTCATTTAATATGCATGTTGATCGCGTTTCATTGCTGACTGTACCTACGATGATCAAGATATGGATTCAAATGAAATGTAATGTTGCTGTGTATACTGAATTTGTGCATGATGATACAATAGGGAATTTCCGCTTAAAATTACCTTCACCAAATTGTGAGATGCATTCTGAATTCTATAGAAACTTTGCCACTGGTGTATCTAACGAATATAGCATTAAAATGGAATATTATTGTGAAGTTACAAAGAAACTAAACAAAAATTAGTTTCTATATACGATTCAATTCATCATCATCAACAGCCTTTAACAGTCCACTGCTGGGCATAGGTCTCTCCTTAGAAAAAAGGTTTTGGCCTACTATACCACGCTGGCTAGAAAAGTTGTTATTAGTTTTGTGTCAAGTTTGCCTTTTCTTTGCAGTGCTGTTGTCCTACGTAGTTTGCTCGATTAGGCAGCTTTTACGACACTCACGGGATGAAAGGGATGGTGACACAGGTATTCGTAATCCTTCACCACACGAATTCAATTACTTCGCTAATATAAAAAGAAATGCATTTGAAATCATTTATCTACGGTTTTTTTGTGTAATATAGGTGGCAAACAAGCTTCAAACCGCCGAACCGACAGAAAGCCGATTATCGTAATAAAAGTTCGGTTCAACTCTCGATCTCACTTGACTGTAATGTGATTATGACGTATTGTAACCGAAAATTGAATCGGTAATCTGCTTGTCTTAGTAATACTTTACTATTTTACTACGAAAATACCTTTTATGACAGTTGCGAGATCGAAAGTTCATCGTTACTGAATTGTGACCGAACTTTTATTACGAGAATTGGCCTTCAGAAGTCACAATCGCGTTGCTGGCATTTGAGGTAGGAGTACGCTTTTTTCTTGAAGATTTCAAGGAACGGAACAAAATAAAACGTATCTGGTGAAAGATTTGATGTTGACTAGACCGTAGCGTCG